TTTCTGATCAAACATTAATGGTTTGTGTATGAGCTTTACCCTTTGGAATTTCTAATGTTATGTGCTAATTAGAAGCATAAAGGTGATTGCTTTTAAGTTTGATCGAAGGTTTGTTTGTGTCAAACTGACTTTTACTCTGGTGAAACTACTTAAAATACATTTTAAAGTTAGAATGTTGTGAGCTGAAAGTGATTTGTTGACTTCTACAGTCCCTTTCAAGAATGTAGAAGCTGGAAATACTGTTGGCTAATGTGTCCTAAAATTGTCTGCATAAGGAGACTTTTTTATTTGTTCATGTTGCTTGCATTGAGTTCTTAGCTGCTCTTGTTGAATTATGGTTCCCTTCTGTCTTATTTCCTTAGGACATACTGCGTCTTCTCACGTTGTGGTTCAACCATGGAGCTACGGCTGATGTCCAAACAGCATTGCAGAGAGGATTCAGTCATGTCAACATTAACACATGGCTTGTTGTGTTGCCTCAAATAATTGCTAGGATACATTCAAATAATCGTGCTGTCAGGGAACTGATACAGTCTCTTCTCATCCGCATTGGAGAAAACCACCCACAGGTTTGCAGTTTTCCATTAATGTAAACTCTAAAGATCTCCATTGGTATTACGAATTTATTATGGGAGTTAAGAATTATAAATAATATTTGGTCAGCCATTTTGAACGCAAGTTTACCTGCTTCGTTTTGAATTTGTTTTTACGGACATTTGATCTCTTTACTTTTTACTGAGTGTCATACTAACTCCGGGATGCATAATTTCTCCTTGACTGTTTTGTTTTCAAATGTTCGCAGGCACTTATGTATCCCCTTCTGGTTGCATGTAAATCAATAAGCAATCTGCGGAGAGCTGCAGCTCAAGAGGTGGTTGATAAAGTTCGCCAACACAGCGGTGCACTTGTGGATCAGGTTAATATTCAATTTCTTGTTTGTAGCTTTGTCGATTTATTTGAAAATCTTTTCTTTTAACTGAGCTAATTGGTGACACCTTTCCCTTACCAAAAAACAGGCGCAACTTGTATCACATGAACTTATCAGGGTTGCTATACTTTGGCATGAAATGTGGCATGAAGCACTAGAAGAAGCTAGTCGCTTGTATTTTGGTGAACATAACATTGAAGGAATGCTGAAAGTACTTGAACCATTACATGAGATGCTTGAAGAAGGTGCAAGAAAGGACAACACGACCATACAAGAGAGAGCATTTATAGAGGTGCGGCCATTTTCCATACTGGTTTTGTAACTTGGGTATAAATTAGTGTTTTTCTTTAACCTATGAGCCTTTGGCTGTGTCTTCACGTTATTTATTCTTCTCTAGCAAAGAACTGCACAGCATTGCAGCATCTAATTTTTTTTTTTTTTTTTTTTTGTGTTGCTATGTAACCTGTGGCCATTTTTTTCTTTTTGGGGAAAGAATTTAAATCAACCAGGTGCCCTTGGTAGAACTATAAAATTACTTTGTGGAGTGTTTGTTCTCATATATATCAGTAAAGGCTATTTGTGAACTTAATGATCTTTTTTCGTATCAGCAACTGAAGTTAGTGTATTGTTGATGCAGGCATACCGTCACGAACTACTAGAAGCATATGAATGCTGTATCAATTACAAGAGAACTGGAAAAGATGCTGAACTTACACAGGTGACCGAAAATTTAAAACAAAATTTCAGTTAGTTCTCGCTCGTCATCTTAGTGAAGGGACATGAATTTACATGTGTTTCTTTTCAATTGCTTATCTTCATTAGGCTTGGGATCTTTACTATCACGTTTTCAAACGGATCGACAAACAGCTGGCCAGTCTCACGACATTGGATTTGGAAGTAATTAGATCTCCTTTTCTTTTGTTCTCTCTTTCCTTTGTCCACAAGTTCTAATCTAACTGGCACATTACATGTTTGATAGTCTGTTTCCCCTGAATTGCTGCTGTGCCGTGACTTGGAGCTAGCTGTTCCTGGAACATATCGTGCAGGTAACATATTGAAGTGCTAAAGTTTGTCTAAGCTGATTTGTGTTTTTAACCCAGGATTCCATACTGAGCTGATTTGCCTTTAAATTAGATGCCCCCGTTGTGACGATAAGATCGTTTTCTCGCCAACTTGTTGTCATAACCTCTAAACAACGGCCACGGAAATTGACTATTCATGGGAATGACGGTGAGGACTACGCCTTCTTGTTGAAGGGGCATGAAGATCTGAGGCAAGATGAGCGTGTTATGCAGGTGATTCTCAAAAATCCAAAATCAGTTGTGCGCTAGTCCGATGAATTTTGGCTGGAGTATTTGTAAATGAAGTTTGCAATTTAGACTTCATATATATATATATATATATATATACATTTTTCAACTACAAAATTACACTTACCTCTTCCCTCGATATTGTGTTTCAGCTTTTTGGTTTGGTGAACACTTTGCTTGAGAATTCGAGAAAAACAGCAGAGAAAGATCTATCCATCCAACGGTATTCTGTTATACCACTATCTCCCAATAGTGGACTCATTGGATGGGTTCCGAATTGCGATACCCTTCACCATCTTATTCGAGAGTACAGAGATGCGCGAAAGGTTTGTCTTGCATTCATTCTTGAAGTTATATGCAGTTTACGTTGATTCTTACACATACCTTTCTGAATTTTCAGATCATTCTTAATCAAGAACACAAACATATGTTGAGCTTTGGTCCAGACTATGACAATCTACCGCTTATAGCAAAGATTGAAGTATTTGAGTATGCTCTAGAAAACACAGAGGGAAATGATCTGTCCAGGGTACACAATTTCTAACTTCTAGTAGTTTTCTCTTGGTTAAAGTAACTAATCTGGAATACTAAGTAGTTCTCCTTCTTGGTAGGTTCTCTGGTTAAAAAGTCGCTCGTCAGAGGTATGGCTGGAGAGAAGAACCAACTATACTAGAAGTTTAGCAGTTATGAGTATGGTATGTGGTCACTTTCAACCTTCGTTCTCCACTTGTGTAGCATCAAATTATAATTTACGCGATAAACATAATCTTTTCGCATTACTTTTGTGTCAGGTTGGTTATATTCTTGGGTTAGGTGATCGGCACCCAAGTAACCTTATGCTCCATAGATACAGGTACATAAAACCAGAAAGGTTTAAATTAGAATAAAGATACCAATGTTGGTTCTACTTCTTTATGAATGGTTACAATTTTGCAGTGGTAAAATCTTGCATATTGATTTTGGAGATTGTTTTGAGGCTTCTATGAATAGAGAGAAGTTTCCTGAAAAGGTATGAACTGTAGTGTTCTCCTCATACAATTGTGGGTATATATATGTTTAAGGAGAGAGCTTTATTTATTGGTTATTAATAATGTTAGGTTCCGTTCCGTCTGACAAGAATGCTTGTCAAAGCAATGGAAGTAAGTGGCATCGAAGGAAATTTCCGCTCGACATGCGAAAACGTTATGCAAGTTCTCAGAACCAACAAAGACAGTGTAATGGCAATGATGGAAGCGTTTGTGCATGACCCTTTAATCAATTGGCGTCTTTTCAATTTCAATGAAGTCCCTCAATTAGCCTTGCTTGGTAACAACAATCCCAATGGTCCTGCTGTTGTTGAACCTGAGGAAGAAGATGAAGCTGACGTAGACCTTCCTCAGCCTCAAAGGAGTACTCGAGAGAAGGAAATTCTTCAGGTTTCTATTGAAATCCTCTCTTTTACTATATAACTCATTCTTGAATTTTTTTTTTGACCTTATGTTGTTGTTGTTATTGATTTGATTATTGGATTATTTCAGGCTGTGAATATGCTTGGAGATGCTAATGAAGTTTTAAACGAGCGTGCAGTGGTTGTAATGGCTCGTATGAGTCATAAGCTTACAGGCCGAGATTTCTCTACGTCTGCAATTCCAAGCAATCCCATTGCTGATCACAATAACTTGCTCGGAGGAGATTCTCATGAAGTCGAACATGGTTTGTCTGTGAAACTTCAGGTTCAGAAGCTAATCAATCAAGCCACGTCCCATGAAAATCTATGTCAAAACTATGTTGGGTATGTTCTTCTACACTCATCTGCTTATATGTTCAGTAAAGTTTTGTTTGTTATATATCGTAATATATTAACTTAAAGAATCTTAAACGACATTCATACAACGCATAAACACTGTAGTTTACTATTCTTTTTGGAAAAATAATGAATGCAAAAATGTGAATTAATAAATAAATAATACTCGTTTTTTTTTTCGTTTTTGCAGGTGGTGCCCTTTCTGGTGAGATGGGTCATTTGTACATTTTTTATGTAAATAGGCTTTGTAATTTTCAACTAAGTTGCATTTATTTGGATTAATAAACTATTCTCTTTTTAATGTAAATAATTAATTAGATCCGTAGTCATGTATTATAACTTTATAAGATGTAGCGTGGTTGAATAAAAATGGGGATGTCACATTCTTTACATTTACCCCTTTTGCATCAGAAACATACATTTCTCATCTCCTAAGGTATTGTTATTTTATGAATCGCCGACCAAAAGAAAGTATTTTATGAATTATATAAATTATAATCAAACATGAATGTTCTTTTTCATAAAATCTGTTATAGAGAATTTGGAGTTGAGTAATAAAGTGCATAATAATCGAAAGTTCATAATTAGCAAATTTTGTTACACATTGTTGATGTTTATACATATATATATATATATATATATAGAATTTAAAAGAGAATACAAATAACAAGTAGAGAGCTATTTCAAATTTGTGTATTGTCTGTTGTTTGCCTTGTTAGAATCTTTATGGTAGTAAAATCATTAAACCTACCAAAACGAGAAATTTTATGATTGAAGGTTGAAGCAACGTGTGATAGTATGTAGGTACATTGATTTTTGCCTTTCTTTTTTTAGGCAGCAAATAATTCGGAAAAAGACGAAAAAACGAGACGTGGAGTCTCGCGTTACGTTACCAATCTCCCATTGCGGCAATTTAGCAGCCACACATACCCTGAGAGTTTAAGCGCATTTTAGTACAATACGCCGTCTTAATGCTAAAATACATGCCTAGAGTTAAAGATGATAACTTTCACCCTTCTCTCGCCACCACTTGCTTGAATATTTGTCACATTTCCCCATTTTCCCGAGAAAAATCCAATCAAATAGAATTTTGCCGTCTGAATTTGTGTAAGCTTCCCCTTATTTATTCTGCGGCGGCGTTCTGGATCATGAATCTTTCCGGGAACTGAAGGAAATCGAAAGAAACAAAGAGTATTTTTGAGTGAAGAAAGGGAAACAAAAAAAAATGGCTTCTTCTTCCCTGGAAATTGTTAAACTGTGTGGGTCTCCTGTATCAATTTCCCGCCATCAATCTCCAGTAAAATTGGAACCTAGAAAAAGGGTTTTCAGATTAGCCGATTCTAGGAATTGGCATCGTCTTGGTAGATGTGTTAGGGTTTGTTCATCTGCTCGTGACGGCGATAATCAATCAAAAGGTCAGCTTTTTCTTGTTCTCCTTCTCTTGCTAAGCTCTCTAGAAGGACTTATGAGAGCTGATTTTGAGTCACTGCAATTGATGAACAAGGATGTGGAGAGTACCCAAATTTTTCACTCCTTTAGACAGGATTGTTTGTTAACCCCTTAAAAGCTCTGTATTGATTTTGAATCTGCAATTGATGAACAAGGATGTGTAGATTCACTCCTTTAGACAGGATTGTTTGTGAAGCCTTTCTCATAACCAATATAAGCTTTGTATTGAATTAATATCTACTTGTTTCTATGATTTTTGTAAGTCAGTATAATATCCTTGTGTTGTTTGTACTACTAATTGTGTGTTGTATTGCTTGATTCTGGAGTTTGATAGAGAATAAATATTAACATTTTTAACATTTTTCACTTGTTGAATTGTGTAGGTGATGAACCTCCAGAGTCTTTATTTATGAAAGAATTGAAGAGACGAGGTATGACTCCTACTTCGTTGCTTCAAGACTATGAAGTGGATGTAGATGAGGTCAAAACCGGTAAAGAAACCGGAAACAGCACTAAAACAACTGCCACTACTCCCGCATTTGACCAAAGCTTGTTAAACCAGAGAGAGAGATCATTGGCTTTAAACAGTGAAGGGCTTGAGGTCAGATTATCACAGTACCTCTTAACTTATGTTTCTTTGAGATATTTTGTATCCGGATAGTTCACAGCAGCTATTTATAGGGAGTTGGTTTTGGTTAATTATAGAAATGTATGGTTTCATTGTTGTGTTCAGGGATTGATTCCGCGTGCTAAGATCTTGCTGACGATTGGAGGGACTTTCTTCTTGGGTTTTTGGCCGTTGATAGTCTTAACTCTTGGAGCCTTTTCCGCGCTTTACCTTGTAAGTTAATAAGATCACCAAGTGTTCATTTCTTTAATTATCCTTGCATCAATCAACGATTGCAATGAAGAACTAATGATCAAACTCTCGCAAAGTCTTAATGCTAATCAGTGTTCTTCCACATTTTCTCACACATTGTTTCACCATAGAAACTGTTCGTATCTAAAGTATATGCCTATATGGAATTACATCGTAAGGGTTCTTTCTACTTTAACCTGATTATGTTGTTTTTGTGTTTTTTTCTTGGAAATGTTAAGTACTTTGGAGCAGATTTCGTTCATGATGGAAGCAGAACTCCGGTTTCACCACCACCGTACATCGATCCATATGCTCTGTTGGAGGACGAGAGGATATCAGGGATCGACCCTCGTGTAAATTAGCCGGACATATACTGTATGTTTCTTTCTGCTCTTCATAAGTAGTGGTCAATGTATTGCTCTGAAGTATATATTTGTCTTTCCTGTAATATATTCGTTACGCATGTAGAAAAAGAAAGTTGCTTCTCTATTCTTGCGAAACTTTTTAAAAGGGCTCAGTAAAATGTAGGAAAGTGTCAATCTTTCACCTCAGTTCTCAAGAAATCAAAAACTGATATTTATTCTTACATTTAATGTATTTCTTACTTGATTCTTAAAAACTGTTAAATCTGGATAAATTAGTATAGGAGTCACCAAAGTAGTAGTTTTTGTTTGAATACAAACACTTTATATATATATATATATATATATGTCAATTGATAACAGAGTTACCTGGTCCTGAAGCACATTTAAACTTTATATATATATATAATGGGAATTTTTAAAAAGAAAGTACCTTGTACACACTACTCATTGCTCCAAGAGCAGGTATACATGAATAAAGAATTGAGCTTCATAAGAGCCTTTCATCACTAAAATTATTATCTACGAATTTGGCATGTAAAAAAACGATTCAAGACAAATCTGATCGTATCAATTTCATGGAATTAATATTTGAGAGTTTCAAAAATCTCTTGCTTCCCTCAGTGGAGCCTTTAATATCGAGGTAAACAAGAACGAAGAAGCAACAAAAGTCAAAATCGAAAAGATGAAATAATAATATATATAGCAAACCGGATCATACCGTAGGTTTACATTGGTATGTATGGTATGATCTTGTTTCAAATTCCAATCGAGGTTAAAATTGATATGATGCGATTATTATCCCTAAGAATAAAAGATAGAAGGAGAGCTGAAAACTCGCTCGATTAGTTTTATTTCAGTTGAACAGTTATCCTTCTTCTCGCCTCCATGATTGCTGAAACTCCTCAAAACCATTCATTACCCTTCACAATTACTAAAATTTACCGTCTTGTCCCTACATAGTGCAAAACTTCTTTTTCTTACTCGGATGGTTAGGTTAGTTTGAGAAAGGTCAAAGATACTACCAGAAACACGAAATCAAACACGAACGAAGTTGATACTGGAAATCAAAAGGATAATTGCCAAAAGTTTTGAAAAACACACAAACTAAGACTCGTTACAAGAGTGTTTCGAGCCCTTTTTCCCAAGCAAACACACAAAAAAAAAAAGATAATAAAGAAAACACACAGAATCCATTTTTTTACGAAACAGCCTTCTTCTTAGTACTCCTCACCTTCGTCATCCTCATCATCACCACCTTCAGCACCAACCTCTTCGTAATCCTTCTCCAAAGCCGCAAGATCCTCACGAGCTTCAGAGAATTCTCCCTCTTCCATACCCTCACCAACATACCAGTGAACAAAAGCACGTTTTGCGTACATAAGATCGAACTTGTGATCAATCCTTGAGAAGACCTCAGCGACACTCGTGGAGTTTGAGATCATACAAACAGCTCTCTGCACTTTAGCAAGATCGCCTCCTGGAACAACAGTCGGTGGCTGGTAATTGATACCACACTTGAATCCAGTAGGACACCAGTCAACAAACTGGATCGTGCGCTTGGTCTTGATCGTGCCAACAGCTGCGTTAACGTCTTTAGGGACGACATCACCACGGTACATCAAACAGCAAGCCATGTATTTACCGTGACGAGGGTCACACTTGGCCATCATGGAAGCAGGCTCGAAGGCACTGTTTGTGATCTCAGCAACTGAGAGCTGCTCGTGGAATGCCTTCTCTGCAGAGATGACTGGTGCGTATGAGGAAAGCATGAAGTGGATTCTTGGGTATGGAACCAGATTGGTTTGGAATTCTGTGACATCCACGTTCAAGGCACCATCGAACCTCAGAGAAGCAGTCAAGGAAGAGATAACCTGTAACAACGAAATCAAAAGATTACCATTAGAAATGAAAAAACAAGCATCAAGATTAGTGTTAAAGAGAGAGAGTTGTTTATTCTACCTGAGAAACAAGACGGTTAAGGTTGGTGTAGGTTGGCCTCTCAATGCTTAGGGAGCGTCTGCAGATGTCGTAGATAGCTTCGTTATCGAGGAGGATAGAGACATCGGTGTGTTCCAAGAGGGAGTGAGTGGAGAGGACACTGTTGTAAGGCTCAACAACAGATGTAGAGACCTGTGGAGATGGGTAGACAGTGAAACCCAGCTTGGACTTTTTTCCATAGTCTACAGAGAGACGCTCAAGCAGAAGAGATCCAAGACCGGATCCAGTCCCTCCACCAACAGCGTTGAAGACAAGGAATCCTTGGAGACCAGTACAGTTATCAGCGAGCTTTCTGATACGGTCCAAGCATAGATCAACAATTTCCTTCCCAACTACGAAAACGATTCCAAGCCATCATGTTAATATACAATAGAATCAACAAACGATGATTGATGAGTATAAGGAATTAAGGCAAATTACTGGTGTAATGTCCACGGGCGAAGTTGTTAGCTGCGTCTTCTTTACCGCTGATGAGTTGTTCAGGGTGGAAAAGCTGACGGTAAGTACCGGTTCTGACCTCATCGATCACAGTTGGCTCAAGATCGACAAAGACGGCACGTGGGACGTGCTTTCCTGCACCGGTTTCACTGAAGAAGGTGTTGAAAGCATCGTCACCTCCGCCAACAGTCTTGTCACTCGGCATCTGGCCATCAGGCTGTACCATTTCCAGATCCAAAACAAAAAATCAGTACGGAAATACACATACTGAAGAAGATCAATAGATCTAACGACGTAGAAGCAAATGAGAAAAGTTGAACAAACCGACCAAAATAGATCGATCAATATAAACGGATTTCGCATCTACCACAGCATTTTGACAAGGGATTGAAATCAAATACAAATCTAAACAGGTAATGTTTGGAAGAATAAAACTACAGTGGTTTTCGTTCATCGAATATTTTTGGAAAAGGAGAAACGGATCTTGCGTCTATCTAAATCAAATACAGATCTAAGCAGGAAAGTAATACAGATCTAAGGATTCATCAGAGAAATGCAGCAGAAATAAACCTCAGATCTGATCTAACGAATACGATAAAGATAGCGAAAAATATAGATCTATAGGGAAGAGGAAGAGACGAACCTGAATGCCATGCTCAAGGCAGTAAAGCTCCCAACAGGCATTTCCGACCTGGATACCAGCCTGACCAATGTGAATCGAGATGCACTCCCTCATTTTCGTTTCGTAGGAAGAAAGATCTGGAAACTAGATTTGTGGGGAAGAAGACGAAGAAGAAGAATCGGAGGGCGTTTATGAAGACGCTCTCCTTGAAAATGAGTCTAGATCTGGTTTTTCGATTTCTAGGTTTTACGAATGGTGATTGAAGGTGTATTTATAAAGCGGAACCATCCATCTGTAAGTAACGGCTCATATAGGACACGTGTTACGATATAACTGGTGTACTGCTAACCACGGTTAATGTTATCCTCGTGAGCTGCATATTTTCTAATTTTAAATTTTGCCGCTTAGGTTCTGTTTGGCAATAGCTTCATGACCGTTTCTCTCTCATTTTGAAATGCATAAAATCCCTTGAATTGCGGAGAGGAGAAGCGTAACCGGAATTAAACCGGATCAGACCAATATCTACAGTAAACCGAAGGGATAGAGACAGAACTGTACCAAACTCTTTGAAAGGGGAAGAAAAAAAAAATATCGAAGCATTGATAATGAGAGCCCTGACGGCTGCACGGCCACTGTTTTCCGATTTCCGAGTCATGTTCGCTCCATGGTTTCCACGTTCAAGCTCAAGGCGTTCGCTCTGCTCTCGTCTCTCCGTCGGATTTGGACCTTCGGAATCAATCTCGCGGTGGTCTCCCTCGATTCTTCTCCGATGATCTTCCTTCTCGCAAGGCACGCCTTCTTTTTCTCCTCTTGTGTAATCAAAAATCACTGAGAACTTAAGAAATTTATACTAATTCACTGAATAGCAAGTGTATGTATAAACGCCCAGATGAGGAATCATGCTTTCATTTGAATTTTGTTCTCTGTTGGCATCCCAAGAGATGAGAACATATTCGTTATCTATTCTTGTTTCGTTGATTGAATTTTGTTCTCTGGTTGCATCCCAAGAATTGAGAACATATTCATTATCTATTCTTGTTTCGTTGTTTTAACTTCTAGGCAAGAAAAAACTTTAAACATTGATGCTGCTTGTGAGGAGATGATTTTGGTATCAGTTGGTGAATGGACGCTGGTTGTATATTCTTTGTTACTTATGTTGCGTGAAATGATAATATTGAGCTTCTTCTGGGTAAATCATTTTGATTATAGGGTGGAATTGTCCGTGTCCAAGGCTCTGAGTTTTGGCACATGGCTAAAGTTCTAAGACTAAAACCAGATGACAGGTATATTACAAAATTTGTTATAACATTTCACAGTGTTACATTCATGAAAGCCCTTCTAAAAGTTGAGTTGTTGTATCTTACCTCAAATCATGAATTGTTTTTAGTAAACCACGAATCATCAAGATCATATTAACCTTACTATGCATCTTTGCCATGATGCATTCAGTTGTTTTTGTAACGGTAGCATCAGATGTGGCCGAAATTTCATTTGATTTAAGATTTCTTATATAAAATAAGTAATTGCGTGCACCCTTTTTGTATGCAAGGGTAGAACTCTTTAATGGCAAAGGAGGTTTGGTAGAAGGTTGTATTCAAAGCATAGACAAAACTGGAGTTGATTTTATGGCACAAGAAGATCAGAAAATGATTCTTCCTCAGGGCATGCAGTGGCAGGTGTTTGCAGCTTTTGGTATGGAACTCGACAGCTATTAATTTTACAATATTGCTGGATATGTTTTTACTTTCTGCTTAGCTCGGGTCATGATATGCTTAAAGATGTATCTTTCAGGCACTCTGAAGGGTGGTCGAGCAGACTGGCTAATTGAGAAATGTACAGTAAGTATATACTTCTCGTATGTCCGGTCTAAATCACCGGTGAATATTGTGGCACTGAATATGCGTATATGCGTATGGCACTGAATATGTGTATATGCTTATTTTAGGAACTCGGAGCGAGTAGTGTCACACCACTTTTAACAGAAAGATCTTCCATAATCTCTGAAAACCGGGTTGATAGATTGGAGCGCGTTAGTTTTGCTGCTGCTAAGCAATGTAAGCAATAATAGTATAAGGAAACGATTGATTAGTTCTTCTTGCTCGTCTTTTTTTGCTTCGCATTATAGGTGTATGATCACAAGCTATTTACCTTATATTTTACTGTCACAGGCCAAAGGCTACATCAGATGGTACTGAACCCTCCAATCAAATTTGGTACCCTCTTGGATCATGTATGTTTTCAATATCTCTGATCTCTCCAATGACACTCTAAGATTCTCGGTTTGTAGTTTTATTTTCTAAACATGCCTTAAACCCTTTTGTGGTTTTTTAGATTTCCAAGTCAAAGTTATGTTTGGTTGCTACAGCGGAAGCTACACCTCTTCTCAATGCAGTAAAATCCTCGGCAAAAGAATCCAGCGGAATATTAATTGTTGGACCGGAAGGCGGTAAGAAATTCTTTCGTCAATAAATTTTTGGTGCAGTTCTCTGTCTTAAAACTTCTGTTGATTTGCTACGTTATCACATTGTCGAAATAACTGGTCATTGCCCGAGTAGACTCAAAATGAATACTCTTGTTTATATAACCTGTCTCAACGAGTACAATCTAACGGTAAACAATGGAATTAGAGCAGACTTCACCAAAAAAGAGGTGGAGTTGATGTTGGAAGCAGGCGGCACAGCGGTTGGACTTGGGCCACACCGGTTGCGAGTTGAGACCGCAACCATTGCTCTTCTGGCAACTCTAGTGATGTGGTCTGACTCTCAAGAGACAGTCTAAATGGTGGCTGGGCTTAAGTGTTTATTGCCTTTAGGCCTTGTCTTGTGTTCTGAGATTTTGGTTGAGTTAGTTCTCTGAATTTTATTGATAGATAAAGAGAAAAACAGAAAAGATTATGAATATTATATCCATAGAGGTTTGATATATCGACCGTCTCGCTTTACACTATGATATATCTGTTTCTTTACACTATGAGATGTGTAACAGTCCATCAATAAAGACGACATCACATATGGCCAATACTTTCTCTTGAAATACCTCTATAAGCAAGATGCATTCCCACAAGCTAGCATCATCTGCAACTCCCCAAAGAAAGTCTCAATCATAGATTTTCTCCTAAATTCAAAAATCCAATCACAACAAAAAAAAAACAACATCTCAAAATTCAATTAAGAAACACCCTAAAACTATGCATATGATGAAAGATGAAGACAATCGAGCAGAAAAAAAAATGAAGGTAATCACAGAAGAATAAGAACGTCAATTTCTGCCATTTGGAGAAGTCATTTTGGATTTCTACAAAGACACGTCAATTTCTACCCGCAAAACCTGATTTCCGCATGGGTCTAGACCGCGAGACCCACAATTTTTTAGACAAAATTTTTGAAACCCAAGACCATATGCATTGGGCCTACTTGGGGCAAGCCCACAGGTCAAAACCCAATTTGACATCTCTAAGTAGTAATGTTGACCCAAAAAAAAATGGTATGTCTCAACAAAATATTAGTCAATTACGATTTGTGACCGACTTAACTAAATCTGGATATTTGGTCAATGGTCCCAAAGAATAGAGGGAACTAACATTGGAACCAACAAGAGAAAGGATATAGAAGATGATTCGAGGGGGAGTAAGAATAAGCCCTAGAGTGGGATTGCATATGGATTCAACAAGATTGAATTGCCTTTTAAGCTACATGTTGCTTATAGCCCATATCATAATGTGCTTTTATTGTGCACATTAAGTTACATGTAGTTGCTTTTATTTCTTGTGTTTTTATTAAACAGGATGACGTGTCATTTACTGCCCAAGGATGGGCATGCAAAAATATAGTTTGTATATCCTTGTTGGAGGTTTTAAAGGCCTAATCTGAGTCATCAACTCTCTCAATTTCTCCTTCGATATGGTAAAATTATCTTTAATAGTTTCTCTATATGAAATCTTTAGTTTAGGTTATTCTCTATATTATACAAACTACCTTTCTTATTTTCAATTTCCAGACTTTGGAGGGCCATAGTAAGACATTGACCGAGTTAAAATGTCAGAAGTTTGACAAATCAGTTTTCTTGAGTGCAAACCATGTAAATAAATCTACCTTTATTTTATTTTATTTTTCTCTATTATCTAAACATAGTACTAAGAAGGAAACATTCTATGACAATATTCAGGTATGGAGTATTAAAACTGGTACACGTCTTCAGAAAATTGAACTTGATGAAAAATTCCCAGCTTTTTTTTTGCGGTGAGTAATGAGTTATATACCTTCTCGAGTTTAAGTTTTGTTTAGATAACTAATTTTTTTGCTTCGTACTTTCAGGATTTTCATTTTAGTAATAGACATGTCATCTTAAGTTATGGGGCAAGACAACTGTGTGAGACCATGGCTGATGCAACATAAACACTAACTAATTTTTTGTTTTTTCTTTTTAATTTGGTTGGTGTGTGAGTTTTTATATTTGGATTTGATGTTTATCAGAGGGTTGGACATCAAACTGGTCGACCAACACAAATTTCAAGACTAAAGTTCTTCAAAAAGTGAGTGTACTTTCCTATGTCTTTAATTTTTACAATTGACATGTTTTTGCTAACTAAACTTATGTTTCTAAACAGTATGGTGATCCACAACCACTTGAAAAAGACCGCAAAGTCATTTTTCTCCGGTGTGTGGATAAATCTATTTTAGCACATATTAGTTGCTATGTACAAAATTTAATATGATCCTCTATGATGTCAACTTTCTAATGTTGTGTCTTGTTTTGCAGATTGGTGAAAATTGTCAAAATAAGAGGGTTCTTTATCATTATCTGAACTATGGAGCCAAAAAAACTGATCGCAAGCTTATAAAAAGATTTTCAACTACATCTAGCATGCTCCAAGTTTGAAATCAACTGTTGGTCACATGGTAAGAGAAAAAGAGAGTACAATTATTATGTACAATAGTTTCTTTTTTCTTTACCTATTCAACATGTTTGGTTTGGTCATTAGGGAACCGTGTAGGAGAGATTCAGATATAGAACTTGAAGAATACTGAATCATCTAAATTGGTTGCAATGTGAGTGAAAAACATAATATCTCAAATATGCTTGGTGGGGTTGATTTTTGACATGTTTCTGTTTTTGCAAATAAGTTATTAGACCTTGATGCAATGCCTATCATACATACTGCCATTTCTGACAGTGCAAAGTAATATGTGTGATCTATTTTGAGTTTTGATATTTTTAAAACTCAAAAACAAATAAAATTACATTTCTTTTTGTTTGTGTGGCTTTTGTAGGAGTATGGTTAGCATCAACAATCAAGGAAAAGCTAGCATTTGGATAAAGAAGTAAAATGTTGTGTGAACCAGAAAACATCTTTTGGTCTAATAGTTTCAATTTGTGACAACAGTCTAGTGACACCATTATGATGTGTAAAACCCTAATGATAATCACTATTTACTACTACTTTACATTATGTAAGTATTTCGCATGGGCAAGAAGATGTGCGTATTGGAAATGAAATTAGAATTTTTAACATCTTTGAGCATTGGAATGATTACACTATGGAAAAACATAATGTTGTCTAATTGAAAGTGCACAAAAAAAGAAAGTACACAAAGCCATAGTGATAAGGGTAGAAAAGTGAATGGCCTATTCAAAGAGAGTTCTAATTCCTTGAACAATAAATGACAAAAGAAACACGATATAGAATCCAAAAATACGATAAACACCAAATAATACGAAGGAAAACGAAACATTAGGTATAATTATAGACCAACAATCAAGAATAAATAAAGATGCTATAAGGAAATTAAATGGTTTCTTTATTCTCTCTCTGAAACTGCTATTCCAAAATAAACAGAGTTTACAAGGTTATGTTAAAACTGGTTTTTCTTTTCTACGGTTTTATAAATTTAAAAACAAAAAAATAAACAAAAAGACTGAAAATAATTCTGATCAAATGTTTTTTCCGAGCTCGACCTTTTTCCCAGCCTGACTGTGCTTTGAAATATCGAATCTAGTATCCCCGCGACATGGAATCCAACAAGCACAATCATACTTTCACCATGGAATATAGAAGAGAATGAAAAAAGTAAGACAGTTTTTTACAAAAATGAAAGAAAAAAGTAAGACCGTGAGGAAAAATCCCTACCCTCTCTAGTCTCTATAGTATAAATTTTTTTCGTAATAATGGTTGATAATATCGCTGTTTTCTTCTAATTTTATTTTGTTGTCGCATATTTTAGATTACTAACTACGAGAAGGAAGTGGAGGAGATGAAACACATGACGAGACAAGAGTTTGTGGCTGCCATAAGAAGGTGCTTTTTCATTTGTTAACGTACCCTTCGCATATAAATGTCAGTTTTATAATAAAAAAATCTTGTAATCGATTGCAGAAAAAGTTGCGGATTCTGGCGTGGTACATGGATATATCGCGGAGTAACAAGGCATCATCAACATGGAAGATGGCAAGCAAGGATTGGCCGAGTTGCCGGAAACAAAGATCTCTACTTGGGAACTTTCAGTAAGTTTATACTAACTCTCAAATTAATAGTATCACAAAAGCGTCTCAAATTATTTGGAGACTACTAGATTTTACCAAAAGTATATACTAACAAGAAAATAGTAGTTGTTATGCTCATATTCGTATGTTTTGATAGCCACGGAGGAAGAAGCAGCAGAAGCATACGACATAGCTGCAATAAAGTTTCGAGGTCTAAACGCGGTTACAAACTTTGAGATAAACCGCTACGACGTGAAAGCCATACTAGAGAGCAACACACTTCCTATAGGAGGTGGTGCAGCTAAACGGCTCAAAGAAAGCTCAAGCATCAAGAAAACGCTGAGGAAATGATATATTGCCCTCGGGTCAACTCTGTTGCCTCGAGCTCTAGGCTTCAGCTTCAACCTTACCCATTAAGCATTCAACAACCCTTTGAGCATCTTCATCATCAGCCTTTACTTACTCTACAGAACAACAACGATATCTCTCAGTATAATAGCAACGCTCATGATTCCTATAGTTAAATTCAAACGCAGCTTCATCTTCACCAACAACAGTCCAACAATTACTTGCAGTATTCTAGTCACAGCTCGCAGCTCTACAATGCTTATCTTCAGAGCAACCCTGGTTTGCTTCACGGTTTTGTCTCTGATAATAAAAACAACACTTCAGGTTTTCTTGGAAACCATGGGATTTGTATTGGGTCAGGCTTGACCGTTGGAACATCGGCTAAGGAAGAGTTTCCGGCGGTTAAAGTCGATTACGATATGCCTCCTTCAAGTGGAGCCACAGGGTATGGAGTATGGAATACTGGAGAGCCTGTTCAGGGGTCGAGTCCAGGAGGTGTTTTCACGATGTGGAATGAATAAAAGGTTTATTTTACTGTGTTTCTTGCGTGGTAAGGTATGTTTTTGTTTAGACAGAGACTTTTTGTTTTGTGAGCCCTTTCAACCAGCTATACTATGAAACCACAAGGGCATGGTCTCCAATCATTGAGGTTATTAGAGGATTTCCTGAGTAGGGAGTGGTTTTAACTACTTAACAGGGAAAACGTATTTGCTTTAAAGATCTGAATTTCTTAACTTTTTGAATTCGAGTTTTGCAGAATCTGAACGTAACTCCAAGTTAGCTTACCATGGAACCTCCTGCTTCTGTAGAATTAGCAGGAAATCCTGTAGGAGTAGTTACTATCAACCTTGTACGTACCTATAATAGAATAATATTCGTCAACACACAAGAGCAGTAAAGTTTGGGTACCAACCTAGACGGCCGTACTCATAACATTCCCATTAGAAAGGTACAACAATCTCGTTCAGAGCATCAAACACTTTACCTGGCATTAATTATATATATTCTTTTCTTTTTGACATCTAGAATAGATAAAGAGAGAAAGAGTCGACATAAGCAAAATAACAGAGCACACCTAGTTAGTTACTTGACCAAGAAAATACAATAAACAATTTAATATTTATCCCTAGTCTTCTTCACTTGCCGAGTTATCAGATTCTTCCTCACTTGCCAAGTTTTCAGATTCTTCCTCACTTGCCGAGTTTTCAGATACTTCTTCACTTGCCAAGTTTTCAGATTCTTCTTCACTTGCCAAGTTTTCAGATTCTTCCTCACTTACCCATTTTACAGATTCTTCCTCACTTGCCCAGTTTACAGAGTCTTCTTCAATAGGCTTCTCCTGATTCTTCAACAACTCTTCATCTATGCTTCCTCCGTAGGGACGCCAATTTAACTGTAATGATTGAGCATTTAGAATAATACTTGAGCAAGCCATATTCTAGTTAGAAACTATATTCGCACATATATATATACTTACTTGTAAGAGACGATATTCATTGGGTGTTGATCTCCAGTAAAGTTTCTCTCCCTTGAAGGACCAAATGAAAAACCCATTAGGAGGGTTACGAGGACGAACCGTTTCCCAGTGAAAACCTTTCTTAAAACCTTCCTCCATCTCCTGAGATATTGTAACCGCTGTTGCAACATATCTTCCAGTTGGATCCCACGCGATATCGGTGGCCATCGAGTGTTCAACTTTGTTCATTGTCTCAAGCTTATCCACGTCGAAAAACTCAAACTGGCCATTGAAGGAGCCTTCCAATCCAGCAACAACTATGTGCTTACCTCTGGGCGACCAGAAGAGTGCATCAGCTTGCTTGTCCTTGAGAGTATCTAGCTTCCAAACTTTTCCAAGGTTTTGTGGTGTCTGCATAGAATAGAAACTGACATCTGGCAATACTGATTGGTCTCCCTCGCCGCCGTGAATCATGGCAAACCTGTGACCGCTAGGCTCCCACGCGAAAGCGAGGACCTTCTCGTCCACCTGAAGAACCTCCATGGGAATATCAATCTCTTTGATGCGGAAAAGCACAAGCTCAGAGCATGTAACTTGGACAGCAAGGTACTCTCCATTACTCTGCCAGTACATCTTGCAATTGCAATCGAGGTCATAAACATCACGAAGATCCTCGTTCCTCAACTCCACCATGCCAGGGATTTGCATAAGGGCTAACTTGGGAGGCTGCCTGCCACGCCCTTTCAACAGTAGTGCAAAAATGGATTCAGTGGGAGACCAACTCATGTCCACAACATCATCAACAACCTTCATGGGTTTCTCGCCCAACAGGCAAGTCTCATAGACATATAAAGTGTTGTTTTTGCTAAGCATAGCAAAGTATCTATCATCTTTCCCCCCAGCCCATCTGCATGCATAATAAGTTTTTTACATCAACAATATAAATGTATATATGTAGATAACATTTCTTTTTCTAGGGAAAATTAAAAAATGCAGTTCAAGAAAGCCACCTAACCACAGGCCATGAGACGTCAGAAACACCATCATATCCTCTCATCAATAATCTCCCACTTCTCACATCAAAGATATTTAATTCCTGCAAATCGGAATACTTTTTTATGCATTAAAAAAAATGAAAGGAGCTGGAAAGAAGAGAAACAAAAGATGAACTCACACTTGGGTTGCTTGGCTCTGATTTGTTGTAGGTTACCAAGTATTTCTCACCTGGAGAGAAATCAACTAGTTTTACCTTCAAAAAAAGAAAAATAATGTCAAACTTCAGTGAAAAAAAAAGGTAGAATAACAACAGTTTTCTCAAAATCAGATATGAAAAACAAACCTTACGATGCCAATAGCGCATGAGCATGGGAATGCCCTTGGAAAATAAACCCCAAAGAACTGCCACATCGTCATGAACTGAGACAAGGTATGAACCTAGAGGAGACCATTGCACATCATTACTCACTCGATCATCCTGCACAGGACGAGAACATCATTAGCATTATTATTACGTTAGACCATAATGATAGTGTCAAAAGAAGTAAGTCTCTTACCATATCCTCAAAAACGTTTCGAGCCTTTTTACGAGTTGGATAAATCCTGAAGACCTTGATAACTGGGCCATAACGGATGACTAACTGATCCAGGTCTTCTTCAACAGTACGGCACTTGAAAAAAAAAAAAACACAGAGATCAAACAAAGAATAGCCAAAAAAGCAAAGTAGAACAAGGTGGCAAGGGAAAAATCGGAAAAGTAGACATACCGCCTCCACATCGACAGGAGTGTCTTCATAAAAAAATACATGAACTCCCTGTACAAAAACAAGATTGGCAACAATGTATTTTCTTTGAAACATGTGTGTGGCAGAGCGTAGGGTACCTCGGGTTTGAAGTTAATAAGAGTAAAGTCCGAGCCCAAAGTCATCTTCGTCGTCTCAGAAACAGCATTACTAGATCTAGTTTTGAATGGTTCGCTACAAATACAAGAATCATTGTTCAAAAACTACAGTGCAATTTATTTATCCGGGTATACCATAAAAGTAGTTGAAAATCACTCATCGAAATGGACTAGAAACCAATCAAAAAGATTAGCGAAAACCCTAGTGGTTACCATGTAATGTAAGAGAGCCAATAGAAAACTTCACCTCTCAAGCCTCCTAGATTTTGCTCCCGCCCGGTGATCTTTGCCCAGATCCGCCATGGCTACTGTTTCCCGATTTGCCGAGTCTTGTTCGGTCATGGCTTCCACCTTCAAGCTTCAAGGCGTTCGCTTCTGCTTCTTCGTCTCCTCCGTCGGATTTGGACCTCCGGAATCAATCTCGCGGTGGTCTCCCTCGCTTCTTCTCCGATGATCTTCCTCCTCGCAAGGCACGCCTTCTTCTTTTTCTCCCCTTGTGTAGGTCTTGTTCCATTTGAATCTGTGTAACAATCCAATCAAAATCACTGAGCACTTTTGAGAAATTTATGCTAATTCTAACATTTAAACCCAACAAAAAGAATTATACTAATTCACTGTAATTCTATCAGATGAGACTTTGAAGTAATGACAAGTGTATGTTTAAACGACCAGATGAGTAATCATTCCTAAATTTCAATTTTGTTTTATGTTGGCATCCAAGAGATGAGAACATTTTCGTTATCTGTTCTTTTTTCTTTGTTCAACTTCAAGGCAAGAAAATTTTAAACATTTTTGATGCTGATTGTAGTGGAGAGGATTCTTTGTCAAATGGTACTGAACCCTCCAATCAAATTTGGTACCCTCTTGGATCATGTATGTTTTCAATATCTCTCTAAGCACACTCTAAGATTCTCGGTTTATGGAACTCTCGACTATCTATTTTCTAAACTTGCCTTAATTCCTTTCGTGGTTTTCTAGATTTCCAAGTCAAAGTTATGTTTGGTTGCTACAGCCGAAGCTACACCTCTTCTCAATGCAGTAAAATCCCCAGCAAAAGAATCCAGCCGACTATTAATCGTTGGACCGGAAGGCGGTATGAAATCTTTTTTCCAATACATGTTTGATGCTGTTCTCTGTCTTAAAACTTTTGTCAATTTGCTATGTTTTCACAATGTCGAAACAATTGGTTAGTGCCCAAGTAGACACAAAACTTAGTACTCTTGTTTATGACTTGTCTCAATGAGTACAATCTAACGGTGAACAATGAAACTGGAGCAGACTTCACGAAAAAAGAGGTGGAGTTGATGTTGGAAGTAGGTGGCACAGCGGTTGGACTCGGGCCACACCGGTTGAGAGTTGAGACTGCAACCATTGCTCTTCTGGAAACTCTAGTGATGTGGTCTGACTCTCAAGAGACGGTCTAAATTGTGGCTGGGCTTAAGCGTTTATCTTGCCTTTGTGGCTCTGTCTCTGAGATTTTGGTTGAGTAAGGTCAGTGGAATTCAAAAAAAAAAAAGCATATAGAAAGGTTATTGTTTATTATATCCATGGAAGCTTAAATTTACGAGGTTTGATCAATTCCACTTTGATTTATTTATATTGACATGGCTAATCTATAGCAGACGCCCCTCATTCGACCGTCTCGCTTGCATGTGATAGATCTTGTTTCTTTACACTATGTCAAGAATTTAATCTATAGCAGACGCTCCCCATGAAGTTCTCAAAAGAAATGTCAAGAAAGTGAAAGAAGAATTTTTAGAAACGATTATAAATAGATTACACAGCTAAAGTTAACCTGGAAGTTGAATTTAAGAGCATTTGAGTCATCCCAAAAGAGCAAACATGGTACTTATAGAGAGCTAACGAATTAGTCCTGACTCCAGATTATAAACAAGGATAAACACCAAAGAACAAGCTTTTCAAAAGCTGCTTTTTCAGTAAGCAATTGAAAAGTCACCAAAGTCCCTAAAAAGGATTATCAATTTGGCAGACGAGGTACTGTCCATCCACTGTGGGAGCACAAAATGGAATTACCGTCCACCAACCTGCACTGTCGTTTTCTCTTGTATTTCATTTCTTCTTCCTCTGCTTTCTATAAACATACTTTCCTCATGAGGTCATGACTCCTTGTTACGATTAACTTGTAAAAACTCAGAATCAATGGAAATTAGAAGAAGATATTTATCCCAAACGATCAAAAGTAGTTACAAGGACCTGAGAGAATTATTAATGGAGTCTCTCACCTCCTCTACACACTCTTTTGATCAAATCACTTGATAATGGCCTCCCTATTCTATGTATATAGACCTAAAGTTCATAACCTGATCCACTTCTAGTTATTACAAGGTAAACAGTAAATAAAGTAAGACAGCACTTATTATAGGATAATACTAAGGAGTAAATCAAACTAAGAGCCCCCTGATCTGACCCAACGTATCACTCCTCAAGTTACAATGTTCCTCTCCCCATTTCCATGTCTGTGAGGGTTTGCATGGAAAGGATTGTATTGCACGCTACAGCTAGACCATTGTATGTAATGGATGTGTCTGTTTTTCCATATTACTTTGGATAGAGATAGCGATTTATGAGCTTTGAATTGCTTTTGGAAATTAAACAAGAGAGTAAAAGGAGAGGAAAGAGAGGGCCTCAGCTGCGATGATTGAGGATCAAGACGTGCTCTCTGAGACGAATATACATCTCCATTCATATGTAATCCTGTCATTGTTTCGATAACTCCCAATCACTTTGAAGCTTGAAACGACACCGTTCTCTTCCACACATGTTACCAAAGCAGTGACCTCACATTGCACTGGAGGCGGAGGGATTTCAACCCATTTGTAAAATGGGATTACCAACGAAGGTTTTGTGATCAATTGGTGAACTTTAAACATTCTCTTAATATTGAACCTACCGGTAATGGAGAGACCTCGATCCAAAAATCTATTGGAAGAATCAACATAGAAGCAGTCAAAGGTAGGGTGATTCGGATATAGTTGAAAAGGCATGATATAATAACCGAGAGATTTAGGAAGATATCAAACTCAACAGAGAGAAGAAATAAAAATGTGAATGTACATGTATGAGTTTATATACAATGTCAAAGAATGCAGTTGAGGAAAACCATTTTCGGAAATTGGAACAATGAAGTTTACTAACCACAAATGATCGTTCAAATAGTTGAAGAATTATTAAGTTTGAAAGCTTCTCAAGAATTCTCGAAATAGATCATCAACTAATCCGCCTTGTCATAAACTAGGGGGTTCAATATGGCAAACCGAACTAAAGTAATACATAATACAACATGGCATAAAAATAACATAGTTCTTTTTCGATATATTGGAAGAAGCAATCAAAACTTTGGTCTTAAAGGGAAGATTACTACACTAACCTTAGAAAGTATCTATATTACTTGTTCGACGCACTTTTATTTTTTTTACAAAACTAACCTAGCATACCCAAAACACCATTTTCGCCTTTGTTGAAAAAAACCTTATTACGAAAATGCCATTACTTTTTTAATGCCACGTAGGCAGATTTATGCGCTCAAAAATTAATAAGTCTACCAAGCAATGGCGGTAGACTTATGAAAATTTGGTCAACGCAGAAATTTTGTTGGTAGAGTTATTAGGGCGATGGTAGATTTATTCAAGAGTTGGTAGAGTTTTTAAATGTTGGTAGACTTTTTTTGGTAGAGTTTTGACGATAAAAGGTAGATTTATTATGTTTCGGTAGATTTGTTGTTATGAATGGCAGACTTGTCAAAAGTTTTGGTAGACTTGTTAAAAAAAGCGTTGACTTTCTCGTATAGTTGACTTTTTCGGTAGATTTATTGACAATGAAGTAGATTTATTTTCTGAGTTGGTAGACTTATTTCCTTTAGCGGTAGATTTATGTGAAAAAAGTTGTCAATACGTGCGGTAGATATATCTTTTTAATGGTAGAGTTATATATAGTTGGTAGAGTTTTCGCTATTGTAGTAGATTTGTTTGACTTGTGGTAGACTTATTTCACTTAAAATTCATTCCGGTGAGTGGTAAATTATATGGTATATGAGGTAGACTTAAAAACTATTGGTAGATTTATTTGTTTTGTGGTAGATATGTTTGTTTTGTGGTAGATATGTTTGTTTTGTGGTAGACTTATATTTTAAATAAATTTCATTCTGATTTGTGGTAGATTAATAATGACATGAAGTAGACTTACAAGATGTTGGTAGATTTGTTTGTATGTTTGGTAGAGTTTATGTAATCTGGTAGACTTATCGACCGTATGGTAGACTTCTTGAAATAATAATGTGGTAGATTAATTAAGTTTGGTATTTACAGAGATAACCTTGATCTGGTAGACATATGACATGCTTATGGTAGACTTGTTCATATGGTAGAGTTATTTTTCATGTTTGAGGTAGACTTAGTTGTTAATGTTTGGCAGACATTTGTTTGTATTGAAATTACTTTTTTGTCCTAAATATATTCTCTTATCTACGAAAAAACCAGCGGTTTGGTAGACTTGTTTTGGAATGTTGTATGTTAAACAGGTTTCGTACATATGGTAGACTTGTTCCATGGTTATATTTGACTTGGTTTTGTTACCATTGACGTTTTCTTTGCATGAGTTTGCTAAGATTATGTCGGTTAACTGTGATTCAATCAAAGATGAGTATTGGTCTTTACGATATAGATGCCATAATAAATGATCAAAAATTTATAACATGAATATTATTTCTATGATATATCTTTTCTCTAAGATAACTTTGCTTTTCATATTAACTTTGAACATATATGTCATATTTGTAATAACCATCTCTTAACTTATGATCTTTTGATTTTTATTTTTGAATATTTGTTACATTTAACTCTATTTACATAAACTTTTACAACATCACAATGTCAAATGATTTCAGTTATGATATACATCATAGTGAAAGTAAAGAAATAAATTAAATTGAATAATAACATTACTAGCAAATGTGATAAAAATGTGAAATGTCTGGATCAATGTTTTACGACAAATATAATTTGAAAACAAAAATATTATCATTCAAAATCTAATTATCATTTTTACAAATTCAAATATAGATATACAAAACAAATCTATCAAATGTAAATCTACAATTCATAGTAAAACATGTCGGATCGGTGCTGGATATCCCTTCAAAGATTTGTTCACCATGGCAAAGCCCATAATCTGTCAGAAAAAAATAAACAAATATTGTTATTCATATATAAAATTCAAATATATACGACTGATAAATCTACCATAAATAACTAATAAATCTACCAAACACATATCATTTTTCAAATAAGTTACCATTAAATGACTAATAAATCTACCAAACCACATCGTTTTACAAATAAGTCTATCATTAGATGACTAATAAATCTACCAAACGACATCATTTTTTTAAATAATTTTACCATCAAATAACTAATAAATCTACCAAACCACATTTCGTTTTCTAAATATATCTACCATCAAATAACTAATAATCTACCAAACTACATACCATTTTTCAAATAAATCTACCATCACACATTATGAACTTTACAACCAAAAAAATACAAAATCGATTTCCAAATATATCTACCAAACATACCTGAAAAAAAAAATTTATGCCGCCGACAACCTCCACAACACCAGCATTCCATCAAAACAACGTCTATCCACTGCGGTTGTGCGCGACGCAGCGAGAATGCTGCTTAAGAGTCACCGCCAACCGCCACATCTCCATAGTTTATCGTTGATACTAGATCCAAAAACCCAGATCTAGAAAAAAATCAAAGAATTCGAAAAAATGAAAAAAAAACTCACATAATAGCAGAATGAATTGTAGAAACCATGGGAAGATCTAGATCTCCGAGCTTGGAAACGTTGGAGGCTTCTTGATACAAAAGATCGGTAGAACTAGTTGTGTTTTTCTCGATCTGAAACATTGAAGCTTTGAAGTTCATAAAGAATACATATTCATACAACAAAATTTAACAAAACAAAAGAAAAGATAAAGAGGAGAGCAAGAGAGGAATGAAAAGATTAAGAAGAAGAGCAGCTCCATGGGAGAAAAAAAAACGGCGCATGAGAAAGAGAGAGAGAAGAAGATGAATTAGGGTTTTTTTTTTTTTTTTAGTTTTTGGTTTTGTATTTTTTTTTTTTTGCTTTTTTCGTTTAAAAAATGTTTTTTTTTCGTCAAAAAAAATTTCGATTTTTTAAAAAGTTTTTTTCAAAATTAAAGTTTTTTCGAAAAAAAAAATTTATAAAAAAAAAATCATAATGGCATTTTCGTAATAATATTCAACATCTGGATAAAATGGACTTAAACCAACTTTGTAAGGTTAGTTTAGTAAGCTCCTCAATATGTTAGGCTATGTTTGTCATTTCATTAACCTTAAAGGTTAGTCTGAGGAATTTTCACTAAACTAAAACCAGCTGTCCTAGAACTCTATAGCTGGATTAAAAAAAAAAGGAGGATTACTGTACTAACCTTGGAAAATATCTATATAACTTGTTTGGCGCACTATTATTTTTTTTACAAAATCTAACCTAACATACCCAAAACACCATT